ACCATGCCTTACATTTGAAGCATAGTAAATGAGTGAGGTTACTTAGAAGGGTCGTACAGATTGTAGACGAAAGTCACTGACATAGACCCTAATTTTTCCAGATTAAGAAGGATGAAGATGCGTATGATTTAGCTACTTATGATTTTACAATGCAAGTTGATGTGGGAAATGTTTGTGGAATATGATACAGGTGGAAGTGGAAGTGAAAGCGGTCTCAAGTTTGTTCTTGAGTTAGAGGTTAGTGATGAAGAGATTGCTGAAGGGTTGAATGATAGTGAGGATGAAAGGTCGACTGCTATTGTTGATGGATTTGATGGTATTGATGTCATTATACCACTTAATGAGGGTCCAACCATAACAGGGTCGTTAACTTGTTCAAGTAAGAAGAAAGTGATGATGATGAGGAGTGTTAGTGACGAGCTTAATAGCTCTGATCTTGATGTCCAGAAGATAAAAAAAGACCTAAGTTTGAGAAGTTTAAGAAAGAGAAACTTAATAAGAATTTTAAGTTTAAGTGGGGGTATGGAGTTCAATTCCCTAGATGACTTTAGGGAGGCTATTCATGAGTGAACAGTTTTAAATGGAAGGGAAATAACATTTGTGAAAAATGAGGGATATAAGGTGAGAGTTGAATGTAAAAAAATATGGTTTTTTTAATGCTTTGTTCTCACGTGGGCCACAAGCACACTTATGCCATTAAGACTATAAAGGATACCCACACATGTACTAGGGTTTTGGATAATAGATCTGCAAATTCAAGGTGGGTAGCCAAGGCTGTGGTCAACAAAATGCAAACTTCTGACAAATTAAGGATTTGTGATATTATTCAAGATATGAGGCAAAACTATTCATTGGGTATAACTGTGGCAAGGGCATGGAAATCTAAATTGATTGCAAGAAAAATCATAGAAGGAGATGCAGACAAGAAATATGCAAGTCCGTGGAGATATGCAGATGAATTGCATAGGGTAAATGCTGGAAATACTATTAAGATCAACATTGAGAGACCATTACCTACCATCCAACCAAGGTTTGGATCTTTCTATTTTCGTTTTGATGGATGTAAAAAAGGGTTCGTAAATGGTTGTAGAACTTTTATTGAGGTTGATGGTTGTTGTTTGAAGACTAAATATGGAGGTCAATTATTAATTGTTATGGGTATGGGCCCAATGACCAATACTTCTCACTGTCCTTTGGTGTTGTGAAAACATAAACAAAAGAATCACAAAGGTGGTTTATACAGCTCTTAATGTAAGATGTTGTAATAGAGAAGAGATATGTATTTATTTCAGACCAACAAAAGGTAATCCCTTTAAATTTCACTAATTTCCAGTTGTGTATGATGTCCTAATATTTCACTAATATGTTCCATATTGTTGTAGGGTTTGGTTGCAGTATTTGAAGAAATGTTTCAAATAATTGAGCATAGGCTATGCTTGAGGAACTTGTATGCAAATTTTAAGAAGAAGTTTGGTGGAGGAGCACTCATAAGAGATCTAGTGACGGGATCAGCCAAGGAAACATACCATCAAGCATGGACGCAGAAGATGAATGAATTAAAGGCAGTAGATCCAAAGGCTTGATCATGTCTAATGGGAGTGCCTCCTAAAAGTTGATGTAAGCATACTGTTAGCTTTTATCCTAGGTGTGATATATTGATGAACAACATCTCTGAGTCATTTGTCACAATTTTAATTGCTAGAGACAAACATATATTGACAATATGTGAATGGATTAGAAAATATCTGATGAATAGGTTTAGTAATTCTTGATAAGTGGTCACACAGAGTTATGCCAATTCCTAGGAAAAGATTAGACACTGAGGTAGCTATGAGTGGTCAGTGGATGCCAACTTGGTCAATGGGAGAAAAATTTCAAGTCACTCATTCTTATAATACCCAAGAATTCATAGTTGATATAGGTAAAAGGTCACGCACTTGTAATTTTTGGTAGTTAGTAGGTATTCCCTGCAGGCATGCTGCTACTGCCTTAGGATTTAGGCAGCAGAACCCATAAATGTTTGTTCATGAATGTTACACTAGGGATAAGTATTCCATGTGCTATGAACTTGAAGTTAGCCCTATAAACTGACAAGACACGTGGCCCGAGGTTGAAAGTGAAGAGCTCCTACCTCCTAACTACGAAAAGGGACCTGGTAGACAAAAAAAATGAGAATTAGGGAGACTGGTGAGGAAGGTTCTAAAAGAAGGTTACCTGGTGTGTTCTATAGGTGCACTAAGTGTGACAAGTTTGTACATAATATAAATTCATGCAAGAGCAAGAAACAATATCCAAATGCCTTGAAAAGGAAGGTATGTGACTAGTATATTTTGTATATTTTATGCATTTTGTGTATGGTTGTAGGTTGGTATATAACTAGTATCTTTTTGCAAAAGAGGGTGAGATTAAGTGCTGATTCAAATGTTGCAGATGTTCAGACTGAAACAAGTCAAGGTACTGAAGCTACTGCAGTGAATGCTCAAAGTGTAGCTGCTGCAGTGAATGATGCATCTGATGCAGTGAATGTTTAAAGTGAAGCTTCATTGTTTGGGGATATAACTAATGACATGATTTCAAGCCCACCTGATATAAACTCAAGTATACAAACAGCAATAAGTAAAGGCTCAACAAGTATAGGCAAGGCTAAAGTCAAACAAGAATCCAAACCATTGAGAAAGAGGTCAAGTGAGAGAATTAAGGAGAATTGGTTTAAAAAAACCAAAACCATTCACAGGTCCTGGTTATGACCCAGAGCAACCTAATTACTTGACTGAAGAAGAAAAAGAAGGAAATGCATCACAAACTGCAAAGAAGGCTACAAAGAGTGCTACTAAAAAATCAACAAAGGATACACCTAAGAAGGCTGCAAAGAGTTCTCCTAAGAAGGTTCTAAGGAGTTCCCCTAAGAAGCCTCCAAAGAAGAAATCAATTTATGATCTATAATGTTACTTACTATATGCACAAGTTTTATGCTCTTTTTGTAATGTTTTTTGATATGACACCTAAGTAATGTTTTAGATATGCACAAGTTTGGTGCTTCTTCTGTACTGTTTGACTTATGTACAAGTTTGATGCTCCTTTTGTACTGTTTGACTTATGCACAAGTTTGGTGCTATTATGTAATGTCTTAAGTTTGGTTCTTTTGTAATGTCTTAACAAGTGAATGCACTTTTCAGAAAGCAGTGAATGCACTTTTTATGCAGAAACATAATATCAAGATGTTCCAAAAATATTCAAGATGTTTGATAGAAACATAATTCTTTCCATTAATATCAAGATTATCCAAAATACATTATACTGATAACCATAAAAATACAACTAATGAACCAACTAAAAATTAGATGAAATTATACAATAGACCAATAATCAAACAACACATAACAAATGTTATCTTGAGTTGCATATTAATCCTTCTCTGAGCTTCAAGCTTCATCTTAAATTTCTCCAATTTCTTTGTTAATGTTTCCAATTTCACTTCTAGTACCCCACTCTTCTTACAAAATGGTTGAATAACACTATTTCCTTTGACGGAGTCTCAAATTTCATCATCCCATAGGAATAATTCACACTTACTCCTAGTCTACAAAAATCAAAATTTCTGTTAACATTAATAAAAATCAAAACTTGCCATCAATTTTTGCCAATTAAGCAACAAACAAATTTACCCCAACATTGCGATATTTCCAAAATTTTCGATTGCGGTTTTGAACTGTGTTGGACACCCACATCTTCATTGCTCTATCACAACCACATTCGGGTAATCCAGGAAACGAAACTGAATTAGCACTGCTTCCAAGAGAACTGCTTTCAACCATGCTTCCAATTGAGGGGAGGAAGAAGAACGACGCGAGATTACGAAGTAGAGGATTGAGACGAAAGGGAAGGGAAAAACGAAGATATAAGATTGGAGCGGAAGGGGAATAAAAACCCTATATTGACGAAGGTGAAGAATGGAACGAAAGGGGAATAAAAACCCTAGATTTATCATATACACAGTCACCCAATTCCAAATGCCACGTAGCAAATTATCATATACACAGTCAACAAATCAAATAAAAGGATGTGGTGAAAATAGTTTATTTGATTTATAAGGGGCGGATCATAAAATAATTACTTCAGAAGGGCAAAGCCAAATCTCGCTCAAATGGTAGAGGATATATAATTAACTCAATAGTTAATGGTTTAAGGGACTTGTGTATTGGTACGTGTTTAAGCAATCCAACACAAAGTAAATTGTAGATCTCCCACTAAAAAAGTCAACAACTGAAAGTACATAACAAAGCCAACAATGAAGCCTAGAACTAGAGCATCTAAGCAGCTCACCTCAACATAAGTGAATAATATGAAACAACAATTTACCTCTGAAGTTATCCCTATAAACTATCATGAGTATTAGTCATGTATGTAGAAGTACTAGTGTACTCACAAAGTTTTAAGCTATAGGGAGCATATTCAAATCAAATAGATTTTACCACCTATCTTAGAGTCAGTCACGTCAACAAGCATATACCTATTCACTAATAATCCTAAAGACCACCTTAGTGAAAATAACAACAACATGAAGCGCATCAGAGTCCAACCACTATATAAATAGGTGACTTACCCCTCAAGTATAATCAAATAATCAATTCACTTACTTTTTATCCGCTAACATGTTGTCTTACTTTAATATCGAAGTATCTTTTGCTAGTAAATTCCCTTCATCCAAACAAGCAAGACTTCGAAGAGTATGCGAACTTGCATGCTAATGGTAATAGAAATCGATTACAATTGGCTTTCATATTTGTTTCATAGAGAGTAACCACCAATCACTTTATTATAGTAGTTATATGCTTTATTTATACATGTTGATCTCTTATTTGTACAACAAAACCAATGTGGCCAACTATACATATGCAGGGGATACTAAAACATTAAAGCCCCTTGAATATGTGTCATTTTAGCATGTGACATTATGTCTATAGAATATTGAGTCTAGAAAACTAAGGAGAACAAGCACTTCAAATTGCTGCTACGTGCAGTCGTTTTTGAAGCAAGGCATGAGTGTTGTTCCATAACTTCTGAGCTTCTAATTCATCATTTGCTAAGCCAGAACACTTAGTCTCATTACAATCTGTAAAGTATTTTCCACTCATTCCTTCTGTTTTTGGACTCAAAGCCACATAACATGTTGTTGATGCACCCTGAGATGTAGATTTGAGTAACTTTGATGCAATGAAAAATAAGGAATCTGCATGGAATTTTCAAATGTCACCACATTCAACTTTTGCTGAAATGAAATTAATGTAACTTTATATACTTAAATATTTACCTGTTATTAAGCCCTTGTTAATAATTCTTGTCTTCACAATACCAGGATGAACTGCATTCATAGTTACTCTTGCATTCCTTGCCTATAATCATATATATATGTTACACTTTTTATCAATTTTTTAGTGGGACCAACATGCATTAATGCATAGAAAGTTTTGTTTTCACTTTCTTATAGCATCATGATGATTATATACATTCACAAATGAGACTTTCTTTCTAATTAATCTAACTAACCTTGAGTTGTCTGGCTATTTCTTTAGCATGCAAAATATTCGCCAATTTCGATTGAGCATAAGCTCGTGTTCCATTATAGCTGCAATTTTATCGCATTGAGAAAGAGAATGAGAAAACGATGATAAATATTTGAATTTAATGAAAGTGAAAGTGTTTATAGTACTTGTACTTTTTTCCATTGAGTATGTGTGTGAAACAAAACCCATTTCTCTTCACCCAGCTATGTATGACAGACGAAACGTTTATTATTCTTCCTTCAAAACTTATTTTTTCCGCGGTTTCAATCATTTTGTCTAGTAAGATTTCTGTTAACAAAAAATGTCCTGCAAAGCAATTCAATAAAATATGAACATCATTTCATTTTTAACTACTAATTAGCTAGAGTTTTAATAGTAACAGTGAATAGTAAATTGTACCTAAGTAATTTGTAGCAAATGTCATCTCAATTTTTTCTTCAGAGAACTCCAAATCTTGAGAGAATATGCCAGCATTGTTTCTGTATGATAATATAATATCATAAAACATGATTATACTTTTTCCCTTTTTCTTTCACAATGATAATTAATAATTAATATGATAAGAGAACTTACATTAGAATATTAAGTGGAAGATTTAAAGTTAAAAACTCAGAACAAAATCTTTGTACAGAACAAAAAGAGCTGAGATCAATCTCCAACAGAATAACCTCAGCATTTGGACTCTCTTTTTGAATATTCTCTCTCACTTCTCTTCCTTTCCTCAAATCCCTTGCACCTATCACAACTCTCACTCCTCTTTTTGCTAACACTCTAGCTGTTTCTGCTCCAATACCAGAAGTGCCACCTTTATTAAAAATTCAACTTCATTAATTATATCATATGAACACGGATGCTGACACACATTTTCTCAGAGGTGTCGGTGCTACAGAAATTATATATATCCTAGTAATAGTGATAATCAGTTATACAAACAATCATGGTTATTTGAGACTTACCAGTGATGAGAGCAGTTAGATTGGAAGGAAGAAACTGAGAGCAGTTTTGAGTAACATGTTCAGCAGTTGAGTTTGAGCCAAAACCACTTGGCCCTGCAATTCCTGCTAAGTATCTCAATGTTGCCTTCATGGGATTTTTTTTTCTTTTATTATTGCAAGGACAAGAAATAGCATTTAAAGTTGGGTGGGACTCAAAAGTTCATATGTAATATATATACTGTGTGTAAAACTATATGATGGTATCTTATATTTACTGTGTAAAATTATTGTTTAATCCGAGGACCAATCTACCTAGGTGATATATGTACCTAACAAGTGAAACTTGTTTCTTTCAGAAGCCTAGAACATAATGACAATGTTTTAGCAACATCATTGGTAGTGAGACAACTAGTATACTTGATGGTCCACAAACTATGTGATTAGACAAATACTACAGTGTAACCCACATATAGTGTGACATATGTTTGGTCCCTACATCATTTGGTCTTCAATTCAAGTCTCGAACCCTTTAAAGTCTACAAATTCTAGTTTAACTTACAAAAACCGATATTAATAGGTTAAACGTTATTATTACAAAAACCGATATTGATAGGTTAAACGTCATTACTCAGGTTCGAACCTAAAACTTCACCTGTTGTTGGTGAGTTTAGAGTAATTATTACCACTTCGTCGGTCTATAAAAAATCATAACTTTTTAAATGAATCTCAAATTATGTGTATAAGATCTTCAATAGCATAATTATGTTTATGTACTGATAAAAAAGTGAATAATAATGGTTAATTAAGTAACCACAAATCATTATATGAAGATTACTACTGAAGTTAAAACTAAATGCCCTCTTCATTTGATCTTTTTAATTTAACTTTTTTTAGTGGTGTATGTGTGGATCCAATTTGATGCACTTCCTAATTACAATACAAAAGTATCATCATCTTATCTCTTTTGTCATCTTTTCACAGGATTGAAGAAAAGTTTATCATCTTATCCGCTGTCAAAGTTTTACAAAGTTGAAGCAAAGATTCCTTTTTGTTTCGGACCATGGTTGGTTGTTTGTTTCTGAGGAAACTAATGGTATATCACACCATCATAAAATGGTTTGTTATCTTAATTAGTGAAAGTATGGCCACTGAAAACCATAATACCTTCAGAATATATATCACCACAATTAATAGTTAATAGTGATAAAGTAAAGAATGAGAAGTGTCTCTTGTGAAAATTGATATACTGAGTTAGTTAATGTTGGATGGGTTATCAGGAGAAGTATTCACAATAAGTTAAGATGAACACTTAATTAAGAGACATCACATATTTATCAAAAAGTTTAAGATAATATGTATATGTGTCCTCTTACTTTTCTTTATAAAGTGTTTAACCTCCATTTTTCTAAATAATGTAGGACTTTCAACTCACACTTGTATCTTAATAACCTATTTTTCAAGTGTGAGTTCATCCACTATATTTTCCTTCAAGCGAAAACTCTTACACCCACACACACTTGTATCCACTTGTACCGTCATTGACACCCTTACCACGTCACAAACACTACAATGGAACATGGTGCGTGACTACCACTATGTCAGAAAGACTCTCGATACAAGAAATTGATCTCTTACTCAAACCTCGGCTCTGATACCACTGAAGAATCACGGGAATAAGCATTCACATTGAGTCAAGAGCAACACACAAGTGAGAGAGACACAATATATTAACCCTGTTAAGATTCTATTATCAATCAATTAATATTGATTCATATTCAATTAGTCATAAGTGTAAATTATATTATTACCTATTGTGTATAACCTCTTTATCATATAAATATATAGCATGTGTGATCATATTCGACACAAAAATACAATTACAACATAGTACATAGAGCTGATTCACCAACTGTCTTCCACAAAAAAAATTTCTTCTTCGCAACTTTTGCACCAGACAAGGCACTGTCATGAGCGTCGCCGCCGCTCCCAAAGACCTTATGGCGAGATACCCACACCGTCAGATTCGTCTCCTTCCGATCGGTCGGAATCCAAAAACGTTACCGCCGTCCGCGTGTGAATTTCACGCGCCTCCCTTCCAACCATGCATGGCCGCGCGTCTCGCCGCCCCTCTCGTCACCGTTTTCGTCACCGACACAATCTTCCTGCACTCTTTCCTGATTTACTCTCGATTTTTTGTTTCAAGTCATCAAATATCATGGGAGATACTAATTCTGTCACGTTCACTAAGGTTCCATTTATCCCGTGTGAGAAACTAACCGGCACAACCAACTACAACATATGGGTCTGTGTTGTCAAAATGTGGTTTCACGGTCAAGGATATGAGGATCACAACTACAAAATCTGATAATATTCCCACCGCCAAACGTGATAAGTGGAAATAATACGATGCTTCTTTATGTATTGTGTTATGGTTTTCCATAGCAACTAATCTCCAAGCACAATACTAAGCATTTACCACTTGTTATGAGGTTTGAGAAAAGGCTAAGAAAGTCTTCTCAAATAATTTCTATAATCTTTACAGTGTCATCACCAAACTCAACTCTTTGAAATTGGAGAATATGGATATACAAGTCTATCTGAGTCAGCTTAGTGCGTTAAAAGCAAATTTCATAACCCTAATGCCTTTTACAAAATATGCAACAACTTATGTTGAACAACAAAGTAAGTATTTTATGATTGTGGCACTTGTCGGAGTACCATTAGAACTTGATTCCATTTGGAACTAGATTTTATCAGGCCATTGTTTCTAACTATGAAGCAGTTAATGAACAACTGTTACGCTTGGCTACACCTCATGCTTTTGGATCGGTATCTACTTCATCTTCCACTGAATCACCCGCTCTTGCTTCCCACTATCATGGTCGTGGTGGACGAACCGGAGGACGGGGTGGACATCATCATGGTATTTGTTGTAACTATTGCAATCGTTACGGCCACATTAAAGTCAATTTCCGTACAAAGGCAAGAGAACAACAACGAAAACCAAGGGTCCATGTCGTTGCTCAACTGGATATCACTAAAGACGTTACTGAAGGTGTGAGAAACATAAGAAAATGGGGGTTTGAATTGGGTTTCAGGATTTAAAACAAATTCTTCCCAAGATAAAATAAAGAACACAAGAACAAAAATAAATGAATCAATTATTTTTATCCTGGTTCACTGTTAACAAAGTTAATCCAGTCCACCCGCCAAAGTTATTTTGTATTTTCAAATAAGGACGTAATCCACTAAAACTGAACTGATTACAAACACGACAAAAACCAATTGTCAATGTTGCAAACCACAAAGACTATATGTCAATGTCTTCTTGAAAAATTATGACTTAAGAGTTGAAATACAATGAGTGTGTTTACAAAGTTGCTTCTTGAAAGCAGAATACAAAAATTTGAATACAATAAAATATCACAACAGTGTTAATAGAAATATAATGAACAAAAGCTCCTTCCTTTGCAAGTTAACGAACAAAAGTTCCTTGCGTTTATAAAAATTTACAAATGAATGATTGAAATAAAGTTGAGCAGTGTTTCAACGTAAGTTTTTATAAGTGTCAAAATATCCTTATTTTCAATAGTATTTTTTGGCACTTAACATTATGTTTTTGTGTATTAATAAGTAAAATCCAACTTTTGTGTAAATAATAGTATAATCGTGTTTTCGTGTAAACATTGTATCAATTGATATTTTTTCATGTTTGTTTGTAGGTATTCAAGAAATGATATTTAATTATTGTAATATAGAGCATTTTACAAGCTTTCTAACACTTCTATTTGTGCGTAAATCAGAGTTACGGTTCTCAAGTTATGGTGAAAACTAGAGTTGATTTTTTTCACAACAACAGGTCACGCGCTAAGCGCCCTCTGAGCGGGCTTAGCGCAGTCTGTGACTTTAAAACATTATAAATTCATTTTTTCATCATATTTTAGGGCATGGTTTTGGGGCTTTTTAATTCTAACTCCATCAGAACCATTCTTTGATTTTAGAGGCTAGAAAACAACATTATATGATGCATCTTGATGATTCAGAGTCAAATTTCTCATCAATCGTCTTGACACCGTGAGAGATATTTAGTTCTTCTTCATTCTTCTCTTTGTATTATTCATTATTGTGGATTGTATGTAAGTACTCTGATTTTATGTATACGTACTGATTATGGCTTTGTATTACATCTATTTCCCAAATCAATATCGATGTTTATCCTTATTTTTGCTTTGTGCTAGGATTTGAGTTGCTATAGACATATATGGTTCGAATCTTGTTCTTGGATGAGCATATATTAGGTTCTAAACTCTATAGATAGATTTAGATATAATATTCACAGTTGGTATTTGTTCTTAATACTTATGTGTTGTTGAGTTGCACGAGACATCGCCGATGAGACAATATGGTTGTTCTCTCAACTCTGCATTAGACATAACCTAGGTTGTGGATGATACATGATGATGTTTACAAGTGTTTTAGGTTGCGTAAAATTTATCAGTAGGTTTAATTATTTGACGGATAAATGAAATTCAATCCTGACAAGATCTCTCATCTCTCAAGAATGTATTTATTTTTTGTTAATATGCTTTACTTTTCGCACTATTCACTTTTAAACCATTCAAAACAAAACCCAAAAACATGGAGACTATTGAACGGGATTCTTTGCATTTCACTAATCCCTCTGGAGACAATAAAACAAAACTAAAAAAACTTACTTTTTCTTGTTGCTTTACTGTAACAGCAAAATAGCATCGTTGTCAGGAATTGGGGTTTATATATTGAATTGCATTGCAATAGTTTCTGTGATTTTGAGCTTTGTACATACTTGTCTTTATTGTATATATGTTTGTCATACATGTTGATAGTGTATATATTTTATTTTTACATATTTTCTATACTTGTGTATATTGTATGTATTTGTGTTTCCATTCACGTTTTCTAAAGTGTTGGTTAGGAACAGCCGTTCGTGACAATTAGCCATGCAAAGAGGCAACATGGAGAAATTTTAATAAATAAAGGCGTCGAGATAACGACGTAAAACAACCACTTGTTGGGAGGCAACCCAACTTTTTAATGTTGTACAACTTTTTATTTAAGTAGTATACGTTGCAGATGGGGAAATTCGGCTAAGCAAGTTGAGTTTGGAGCCAT